AGTCGGTTGATTTAATGCTACGTTTTGGCGCTTCGGTGCTCTTCCGTTTGACGTTCACACAGCGGCTTCGAATGCAGCGATGTTGCCCACCTTTTTTTGCGTCTCTCAAAGGACTAGCTTGTTCGTTCGACGAACCCACAGTACGTGTTCTTCCAGCCCGACTTGACGCTTCGCTAGTCGATATTCTCGCCACTCGTGCGCTTGAATGTCCAACCGCTCGGGTGGCCCGGCGTTAACATGGGAGCCGTATTCTTCGCTGTCGATCATGTTCTTGGTCTTTATCAGCGGGATTTGGACTTCGTGCGGTAATTGCGCCGCGCCGTGGAACAGGTCCAACCGGATCCCAGCTGGGATCATAAAGTCGGTCCCGAGTACCACGTCGACGCCTGCACTATGCGCCATTACCCACATCTCAAACTCGTACACCATCTCCCATCCGAGCGTAATCTTGACGCACGCTCGTCGCGTCGTAGACACCTTGCCTTCGTTGTTTCCTTGAATGTCAATGCGGCGTCCGTGATCAGGTACATCTCGGAGTCGCAACTTCTTGGCAAAGGCGTCAGTGATCACACTAACGTTCGCTCCTGTGTCGAGGAGGATTCTCGTTCGCTGGTCGTTCACAGCGCCTTGCACCAGAGCTCTCATTCTGATCCGTCGGTCGAATTTCTTGGCCGACCACCACCCCTGTCTCTCGCCAGGGTTCAACTTCATAATCTTGGAGTGACCCTTGGGCTCGTCTCGCGCTGCACTCGAAACCAAGCCGAGCGAACCCTCGCTGGTGCCCTCATCAGCATCAGCACACTCCACTCTCTCTCCAACACCTCCACCGAGGATTCTACTCCTCTCCTTTTCATTTTCCGTCGCGTTCACACTTGTTACGTAATTATCAGGGCATTCACTCTGCCCCAAGAAAGCAAAGATACACTCGGCTTCCATTGAAGGCTCGGTTAACTGTGGCAGCCCGATAGGGACCAACCCAGTTGTAGTTGGCGGGCTGCCTAGTTTAAATGACGTTCTTGAACGACGGCCTTGAGCTCTGGCGGTCGGTCCTCCTTCGTGCCTTTAGTACGCACGAATTTGGCAAGGTCTTGGAAGTTGCGGAAAAGTTCGCATTGTCCAGCATCGTGGAGTTGTTTGCAGAACTTGCATCGCTTGTTACAGTAGTGGGCGGAGTGACTCATGCCACCGCACACCGCGCATGGTCCGTACTGTGGGCGTCGGTTATCGCGGTTGAAGTCACGTCGACCGCGTTGGTCCTGATTGAACCCACGGTCACCACCTCGGCGATCTTGATTGAAGCCATTCTCGCGATCAGGCGTGTTTCCACGCGGTTGACGGCTGTCTGAACGTGCGTAGGTGCCTTCAGCAGCTGCACGGCGCTCAATTTCGTAAGCCGCGGCGGGGTATCGGTCATTTTCATCCAATGAGAAATCACCATCCGTATTATCGGGCTGAAAGTCGCTGTACTCGTCTTGGACATCGCTGTAAGCATTCGGATCTTCGTTTGAATACTCGGTGTCCCCTTACGCAGCTTCACAACCTTCTAATTCAGCTAGTAGGTCATCCACCGTGACTTCAATGAGCGTCACCCTTGGTTTATTTCGGTTGTCATCGCGGCGACGGTCATCACGCCGATACCCCACCGTCGCGTCGCGCAGCACGGCTCTTGAAGTATCGATACTCACTGTCACGCTTGGTCATTCTCTCCTTGCCCTTGAGAACTTTTTCGATGATCTCATCGAGCTCGTGAATGTCGGTGACTCGAGCGTGGTAAAAACTGTCGGCCAACTTGTCATCATCGCGCGTTGCAAGGAACTGCTGTACGTGTTCTTTCGCGTCGCGACCCCTCATCGCGAAGTGTAGACGGGCGCTTCGAGCGTAGCCATTCAGCCTGTTTATGTAGTCGCACAGATGTTCGTTACGTTCCCGCTTTGCAGAGTAGTAACGGGACAGTGCCGTCTGCGTGAACTGCGAGCAGTAGTAGCGGATGAACGCATCGCTTAACAGCTTCCACTTGCGCTTCGTCTTCTCCGGAAGTAGTTGACGGAACAACTGCATAGAGTTCTCGCTCAAGTTGCGAGAGCCTGAGAACGGCGTGATACGATCCAACGGTCGGTGCGATGCCATTTTAATCATCGGTGTCGGGTCCACGTCGTTCAGCGTCGCCAGCTCATTCATCTGACGCAACAACTCGACTTGAGGATCTTCCTCGTCGAATGTACGCACCAAAATGTCATCGTCACTTGACGAACCGTCGCCGTCGACTTGACGCCGTCCGGCACCACCTTTGGGCGCTCACGCACCGCTCCGGCGGCCGAACGAACCCTCGTTGCCAGCGTAAACACGTTGCATACGGCTCTTCGAACGTGGCGTAGCCATGTGCGAGTCTTGAAAGTACGGTATTTAGACAGCAGGACGGTGGCCATGGAAGTCGGAATCCGCTAAGGAGTGTGTAACAACTCACCTGCCGAATGAACTAGCCCTGAAAATGGATGGCGCTAAAGCGGGCTACTTATACTTTGCCGTTAGCGCGATAGCATTTATAATGTACGCGTTAATGAGTAGGAGGGCGTGAAGGTCGTGAAGAAGCTCGTGGCGTGAGCCTGAGTGAAACGGCCTTTAGTGCAGATCTTGGTGGTAGTAGCAAATATTCAAATGCGAACTTTGAAGACTGAAGTGGAGAAAGGTTCCGTGTGATCAGTAATTGGACACGGGTGAGTCGATCCTAAGAGATAGGATAATTCCGTTTGAAAGCTGGGCTGTTTGAGGCGTGGGGTTCGTCCTTGCGTTTTGTATGCAGCCTCGTGTATCGAAAGGGAATCAGGTTAATATTCCTGAACCGAGACGTGGATAATATGTGGTAACACAACCGACCCAGGAGACGCTAGA